CCAAGTCATATATATTTCTGAAGACCTATAGTTCCATATGTGCCTTTTATAAAGTGCTGTCAGGAAGGGGGAGGGGGAGAAACAAATTCTTATTTTTGGAAAATGACTTTTTAAAAGCCTCTGTCATTTATCCTTTCTACTCCCCCCTCAAAAGGCAATTTTAAACAACAACAACAAAAAAAAACCCTCCCAAATTTAATGATTCTACTTATAAGCTGCCAGCAATTGAAGGAAGAACGGCAGCTTGGGTTGGGAGCAATGGAAATACTTGAATGTTAAATAATTCTCAAGGAACAAGATTTGATTTTGTTAACGCCTGGTACCTGATTTGTTCACTGCACCCCTCCCTGCCTTTAGAAGGACCAGCTACAGTTGCCAGGGATAATATTTTCTTTTGTTCTTTTATTTTTGCAAAGGGCAATACTGTAGCTTAGTTGTCTCCTTTCCTTTTTTGTTACGCATGCAGAGATCTGTAGAGAGAGGGAATTCTTTGTGTATATTTGTATCTAACTGTATACTCACACATATTTACAATTTGGTTCACTTTGCTCTTTGGTCTTTAGACACCGCCCCCCCCCCACTCTCCCGAACACACATACCTTCCCTCCACAAGCCTATACATTTTTTATGGCTATGCCCAGGCAGAAGAATGGAGATTTTCAGTTGTACCTCTCCCCCCTCCCCCCAAAAAAAAATTATTGTTGCCGTCTTTGAACATTCCTATCTTCACTCTCAGGGAACACAGCAGCAGCCCTGAGAAGGCCTGAAGTTTGGAAACTGAGGCTAAAATGGCTTTCCCATGCCATTTAGGTGAAACCCTCCTGTCTCAGGCACCAGTCTCCCCTAGTTTTAATGAAAGAGGCATATTAGTAGGGGGTTGTAGAGAAACTTACTTAATGCCAAAGAAATTTCATTGATGGCATTTTCATTCTAGACCTCCATAATAATTTTAAGAGAAAGAAAAGTGAAGGTAGCTTAAAAAGCTGTCTTCAAAAACATTGGCTTCTGGCTCAGTGAAAAGTCATACAGGCTAGTTTGACCTCCGTGTTTTAACAAGAAAAGCTCTGCCTTTGTAATGGGCTCAAACTTTTCACGGGGGGCCCAACAGAAGTTGGCATCAACTTGGATAGCACCAAAGGGTTTAACAAGTGAGCATGCACACACACACGCACGCACACACACACACACACACAATCTATAAATCTGTGTTATTTATCTAGAAATGCCACACATATATAATATGTGACACATTTTTATACACAGCGGTCACGTGGTTGTAATGCTGTATACAGCTGTCAATGATTAGGCAACCAGAAAAATGTGAGGCATTACATGTGATAATAATTACCGATTAACATGACAAATTAAATAGTTTTGCTTTTACTTAACAAAAATCTCCTACCTCAAACTTGTGAATGGAGGCTGGCTTGGTAGCTATAAAATGTTATCAGAATGTTCCATCTATTGGTGCATACACATGTAAAAGAGTATTGCGTTCACTGAGAGAAACAAAAGAGTGCCCTGAGCTGGGTTGCACATGTGTATACACAACCTTAACATATATCTTCACCCTGTTTGGGTACATGACCTCTGACTAATAACTTCTGGTGTGACTATCATTATGTATAAATCTGCCTTATTACTTGGAGGTATTGAAATAAAATTATCATGATTAAATGGGAGGGGGGATTTAATAAACTGAATCCAGAGAGGGATTTACACCTACCTCAAGAAGAATGCTTCCTGCAAAAGTCAAGTCCTATGAGGTCAAACAAATAGTCCAGACTGGCATTTATGGGCTGGGGGAAAATCCTTAGAAAGAGAAGGGCATAGCTCTCACTGGGGCAAGGGGAAGCCCATCTAGCCAAAAAGCACCCGAGGGGATGGGAAGGTGGAGATTATAGGATTTTCTTAGACTCCTAGGCTTGAGATGTTGAAGAGACTTTAGAGCCACATCCATTTATCCTAACTTCTTTGTTTTACAGAGGAGGAAACTGAGGCAAAACTGTAGCAATGAACTGGACTTGACAGAGGTCACACAGAATTTAATCCTCAGGTTTTCTGACTCCAGATTCCATACTGCTCTGCTTCTTTACACCTCCCTGTCAAGAGAACTGCAAACAGATATTTTTACAGGTTTCTGAATTTCTGGTGGAGTCTAAGTTGGCTGGGGAGGGAAACTAAACAGAATGTCCAGATTGCAGGGGAGGGTGTGGGGTGGGGTGGAGAAGGGGCTTTTCTGTGAAAATACTACTATTCCTACTTAAATAAAAATGCTAGCCTTTTCTAATAGGTTTGATAGAATCCTGAATATATGCAGGATGTCTGTGTACATGTATCAGAATCTCCCCAGCTGGAGGGGGGAAGGGGAGGGAGAGAGAGAGAGAGAGAGGAGAGAGAGAGAGAGAGAGAGAGAGAGAGAGAGAGAGAGAGAGAGAGAGAGAGAGAGAGAGAGATGAATAAATCAAGAATCAAAACAATGACTAATTTCTAACCTGAAGACTAGTAGAGGCTCAGCTGGAATGTGGTTCCCTTTGACCAGTCCACTTCATACACCACACAACACAGCAAAAAAATTTTTTTGGAAAAATGTTTTATTTAAATCCTTTTTTCTTTAACAACAATAAAATATCGCATCATTATAAACCCCCTGACTAAAACTGGTAGACGACCAAACATTAACAGCTAATTGGTTGTTGTTTTTTTTATATTTTTTGACACGCAGTTCATTTTTTTTTTTTGCAAAGAGTTTCTTAAAAACATAATGTGGAATTTATTGAAAATAAATAATTGTTGGTAACTGCAATAGGCATTTGGAATAAAATAGTTGAAAAAAGCAACTCTTAAGGAAAAATAGCGTTTATTATACATCCGTTACTAAATGAATAAACTAAATGATCTTTCTTTAAATTAATAACTTCAAAAACCGTTTAATATACAAAACTGTACAATTATAAAGTCGGCAGGGATGTTTCGATTAACTCAGGGTTGCACCCTAGCACTTCCTGGGGAAATGCTGGGGGGGGGGCGGCAAATGATAGTAAATATTGTAGGAAAATTGTGGGGCTGGGCCAGGGGAGAGGGGCTGGCATCTCAGGTTGAAACCTGGAATGGGATCCACAGCTGGAAGGCTCCCCAGAGGTTTCGGGGACCTTGGTTCCCAGGCATCAGCCCATCTCCTCCCTCTCAGCATATTCTAAACAGGGGGCACGAAGGAGGCTTCCTGGTCCTTAGGTAGTCTAGCTTTGTCTACCAAGATAAGCCCCCCACCCCCCAAAAGGTGAGCTGGCTATCTGGAGGAGGCTGTAGACAGATAGATATGGTAGGTGCTGTGGTGCGTGTATACATGTGTGTGCGTGCGTTATGAAGTGATGTGCCTTGAGAGAATGCGTGTATATATTTTATAGAGAGCAACGAAGCAACAATAACACCGCATATTGGGGGCTCTGTATACAGTATACCGAGATGGTACATATAGAAAGAGATACACAGCTATACCTACAGCCACACAGAGGTGTGCACGGAGAGCTTACACAGTAGAGACGTTTGCATATGTGGGCATCAGCCATCACACAAGCCCCTACACACATATACCGATATATACACTGTACTCTGTCCATGTGAGGGGGTGGAGCGCGTTTCTCTAGCTGGAGAACTGGGACCTTTCAAATGATTCCAATTCATTCATTCCTGCATTCATTCATTCCTTCATTCATTGTTGTTGTTTTTTTTTTCCCCAAGAGCTTTTCAAGCCCTCTCGGGGTTCCAGCTTCGGGGGGAAGGAGCCCCGGGTGAACCAAGGGGTAGGGGACATGCTGGCCCAGCACTCCCCCAACACTGCCGGCACCTTTGGAAGGGTAAAAACCAGGGCACCCCGAAAGGAGTCTCCCAAGGCACAGCAGAGGAGTTTCTCCACCCTAGGCTTTCTTGGCTGGCACTACTCAACGGCCTTTGCTTTAAAAAAAAAAAGGAAAGAAAAGAAAGAACGAAAAAAGGAAAAGAAAGAAAAGGAAAAAAGAAAGAAAAGAGGCAGTTGGCATCTGGGATCGGTCAGCTCTGTCTGCCTGGGTGCTCCTCTCTGGGGGAGAACCTTGTGTCCCTCTCCTGGGGCTTAACTTGCGTTTGCTAAGGGCGAACAGCTCTGAGGCTCGAGCATCTGGGGGACTACATGGGGGTGGAACAGCATGGGGAGCAGGGGTAGAAGGAAGATCAGAGATCCGGGAGAGGAGAGGCAAGGGAGGGACGCCGCACCTCAAACTCCCCGTTCTCCTCGCTCGCTCGCTACTGTCTAGAGCTACGTCTTTGGAGCCCCCGACCTGCCTTCTCCTCCCTTCTCCCCACCGGGCTCCCCAGTATTCGGTTTATATTTGGTCTCCATTCAGATTAGGGGAGGGGGTATCCCAGCCAGCTGCCTGGTGCCTTCCAGGCAGGTTCCAACCATCAGCTCCGTGGAGGAAGAAGGCAGGAAGGAGCCCGATGATGCTCTCTAGTTGGGAGATCGTGCTCGCTGAGATACAAAGTATTCCACAAATATTGTGTACAGCTTGTAGCAAAACACCTCGGACACGGAGAAAACGCTAGAGAAGTTTAAAAAATGCAAAACTAGTCTATTGTAAAACAGATTTCACCTGAAATACAGCTGCTATAACCAAGGCGCTGAAAGGTTATTCATAGGCACACATCTGTCTTTTCTTCTCTCCCCCCTCCCTCCCCCCACCCACACTTTTCCTCTCTTCCTAGCGGAGACCGACAAAAACCTTGCTGGAGAGTAAACACTGAGTATTGATCAGCGGAAAGAAGGAAAAAACCAACAACCACAACAAAAAGGAGATTGCGAGGATTGTAGCGCGCAGAGAGAGCGCCCGGGCTCTGGGGCCCACGCCTTCTCAGCGGGACGGACTGTGCGTGTACGTGTGTGTTTGTTGCCTCTTTGAACGTCTAAGCGAAAGCCCCTCGGGAGCGGGTCGCGCTGCTCCCAGCGCAGCCCCGAGCCCCGACAGTCACAGATCGTGGCGCGACGCGTCCGTCTTCACCGCGTGGCCGTAGACCTCGTGCGGCGGCCCGGGCGGCGGCGGCCCCTGGGGCCCGGGCGGCGGCGGCGGCGGCGGCGGCGGCCCTGGGGGCTGCTCCCCGGGCGGGGTCATCCTCTTCTCTTTCTGTCTTCGATTACAGAACCAGACCCGCACCACTTCCTTCTCTAACTGCAGGCTGTCGGCCAGGGACGAGATCTCTTGGGCTGCAGGCTTGGGGCACTTAAGAAAGTGCGTCTCCAGGACCCCCTTGACACTCACCTCTATGGAAGTTCTCTTCTTCCTCTTCCGGCCCTGGGCTGCGATCTTGTCAATGCTCGTGGGGCTCCCGGTGGACGAGTCAGCCTCCTCCAGCCACTTGTTCAGCAGGGGCTTCAGCTTGCACATGTTCTTGAAGCTCAGCTGCAGTGCTTCGAACCTGCAGATGGTGGTCTGCGAGAAGACGTTGCCATAGAGGGTGCCCAGCGCCAAGCCCACGTCCGCCTGCGTGAAGCCCAACTTGATGCGCCTTTGTTTGAACTGCTTGGCGAACTGCTCCAACTCGTCCGACGTTGGGGTCTCTTCATCCGAGTGGTCCTGGCAGTGATGGGCCCCCAAGTCTCCGTGCTCAGCTGTGTCCCTCAGCACAGGGTGCAGCCCCTGGGTCGGGCCCGAGGTGGGAGGCGGGGTGAGACCCCCGTGCTCCAGCATGCCACTGACCGTGAAGCCAGGCTGGGAGTAGACATTCATGGGCTGCCCACTGGACGTTAGCGAGGAGTTATGAGCCGGGCTGGCTCCCCAGGCATTGGGGTGGTTTGTATGAGGTGAGTGGTGGGGAACGTGAGGCGACCTGTGATGGATGATGGCGCCAAGTTGAAGATCTTCTCGCCCTGGCTTCACGTCCTGCTGGTCTAGAGGGCTGCCCGCCAGGGTGGAGGACCAGGGACTCCCGTCACTGAGGCTGGTCACCCAGTGGTGTCCGAGGGGATGCCCATTGCTAGGAACACCCTGCAAGTAATCACTTTGGAGAAGTTTTTGAGGATTTCGGAAAGGACTCCCTTGCTGCATGCCTGCAGAGTCTGCATGGACCAAGGAGCTGGAACTGAGAATGCTGTAGGGATTAGAGGCAGCTGTGGCCATGGTTGGTGTAGATCCCCTACTAGTTATAATGTGGCAAAGGGAGCAGCTTCAGCCTTTGACATCTACGAAGCAAGAGAGCCAAATCAGCAACCACTTAGTTATTGGCAGTCGTCCTGGCCAATGGCAGCCCGGCTTGTGCGGGGAAGCTTTTGCTGGCACCAATGATGGGCAAGGAGGCAGGTCGCGCTTTCCAAATTAGGTTTGTGAAACCCAGGAGTTAAAGTGAGGAGTGAAGCAGGAAGTGAATCAATCTTTAGGCTCCATTGGTTGCCTCTAGCTGACTATCCACGGATCATTTATTTAACTCTTTCTCCTCTGGACGATGCCAAACATTTGTTTTTTTAAAGGGATCCTGGGCGTGATGGGGGGTGGTGGGGGGGTAGGGGGATGGGGGAACGGAGGGGGATGGGAAGGGGGGTAGAGGCTGGCAAGGCCATGTTTCTCACCGTAACGATTCATTCTAAATAGGGGTAATAAAATATAAAATAGATGAAATACTCTATTCTAAGATCGACTTTGCATCCTCAGCCCGTTTACTAAGGATTTTTTCAGTCCTCCTCAGCAGTATGGATCAGGCATGGAGATAATTACAAAATAAAAAACATGCTATATAAAGTTGTAACAACAAAGACATCCAGGAAAAACACTATAAAGCAACAAATCTAAAGTTCCCGGTTGAGATTTTATTATTATTATTTTTTCCTTAAGGAGGATGACACCAAAGGACGGACAGCTTTTTACCATCACGTGAAACAGATCTGAGATGCCCTTTGTTTTTTTCTTTGGGTAGTTAAGTTCCATAAAGTGGAACTAAAAGCACTGGACGAGGGAAGGGGTAGGGATAAACATTACATTGGGAGGACCTGAGTTCACAACTACTACCTGTGACCTTGGTCAAGTCCTTTGCTGTCTCTGGGCCTCAGGGAACCACTCTACTGTCGAATGAGGGGGGTTAGACTAGATGTTCTCTTGGGCTCCCTTGCGATGCCAGAATCAACCCCAATGACAATTTGCGAGAGGGGAAGAGGAACTAAACTATTCTAGGACGGTCCAGTAGAACGTGTCGTGACGCAAGCGCCTTCAGCTTTTCCGAAGCTTGTCACCCCATCCATTCGGTCCCCGGGTGTCACATCCCAGCAGAAACCCCTCACCAGCAGGGAGGTTCAGTGCCTGAGCACTCCTTTAAGGCACACAAAGCCTTCATGGAGGGCCCACGGACAGGCGGGCTAGCGACCTGGACTTTTGTAGAAGGGTGGCTACCATCTCACCCCCATGGCGTTGACCCGTTGAAAAAGCAGAAAGGGCTTTCTAAAGGGACTTTTAAGAAAGGGAAATGCTTTCATTTGTCCTTAAAAACGCTGGAATAGGAAAACTATGGTGCCTTTGCATCTCCCGCTCCCCTCCCAACTGAATCTGAGTTTGAGCTTTCTTTCAGATTCTGAAGAGAAAGCTTTTTATTTATTTCCTTCTTAAAAACCAAAATCAAAACCAAACCAAAACAACCAAAAACCAAACCAGGTGTGTGTGTGTGTGTGTGTGTGTGTGTGTGTGTAAGAAATGGAGAAAACTCCTTGTCCTTTCCTTAAGCCCTTCCAAGTCAGGAAAAGAAAAGTCATTGTTTTCTACATCCCCTCTTTCAAATCCTCTCTTTGGGGGCAGGGTTGGACCAAACGCAAGGATTTTCGAGGTGCTGTGGCTTGGAGAGTAAGGCACCCATACCTAGGCAAGGCTCCTAAGTTTTCAAATGACCTTTGTAGGCACAATTTTGGAAGTAACCTGGCTGCGTAATGATATTTGCACTTGCAGAAGACTGCAGCAGAATCCCCTTATTGGTTTGAAATTCCATTAAATATATTGCAAGAGCTCCTAGGTTAAGCTTGATTTAAATTTGCATACATTTTCATATATTTAGCAGAAATAAAAGAAGGCTTGCAGCTACCAGAAAGTCATTAAGGCATTAGTTTGCCTAAGAAGACAGATCTGAAGGAAATTGGAGAAAAGGAAAAAATGAAAAATTCAAGGTGAGCAGCTTCTTCTTCAATTCCTTTCTACAGCTAAAGATTCTCGGGGTCCTCCGGGCAGGGCTCTTTTGGGGAAAAGCAGTGAGCTAACAGGGTCGAGGCTAGGGAATGGAAAAAGTCTGTTGGGCATAAGAAACTGGTGTTTATTGGGGCGCGACTTTTCTTTCTTTTTCTTTCTTTCTTTCTTTCTTTCTTTCTTTCTTTCTTTCTTTCTTTCTTTCTTTCTTTCTCTTTCTTTCTTGACACGTAATTATTGGCAGCGATTATTTACGATCAATCCCCCTCCCCCCTCCTTGAAATAGTTTCTTTTGCCGAGGGTCCTCTGAAGGCTTCGCTGGGGTTTTTTTGTTCCTTGGGGTTTTCTCTCTCTCTTTTTTCTTTTCTTTCTTTTTTTAAACTGTCAGCTGTGTCTCCTCTTTTGCCCAACACGGAAGCTGTTTTTGCTCATTTGTGTTTCAACTTTTACCTCCTGGAAAAATGAGTGCTTGTGTGTGTGTGTGTGTGTGTGTGTGTGTGTGTGTGTGTGTGTGTACGCGCGCGCGCGTGGGTGTGGGTGTGCGTGCTCGTGTGAAGGGGGGGAGCAGTTTTCCGGGGCTCTGCAGGCTTCCCACTTGTGGAGGCATTCGAGGGCTGAGCCAGGGTCACTTTAAAGGTCAGAGGGAAAGGCACCTAAACATTGGAGTGCTTAGTGCTCAAGGCTTAGGGCAGAGGTTTCCCCCAGCTCAGAAGTGTTTCTGATGGCCAAGGTGCTCGTCCCTGGAGTAGTATTGGAAGCGTTTAACATTTTTTAATGGATTGGCCTAGAGGAGATGATGGTGTGGGTTTTGTTTTTTTTTACACTAGATCGGGGCCTGGCATGTCCTTAGCATTCTAGCCTGCCAGCTCCCACCTAGTCCAGGGAGGGGAGCCCTCCTCCAGTCGGGGCCTGAGAACCACTTAGCTAGGTTTGCTGGTGGAGCCTCAGTGCTTCAGACATACACCCCTTCTGCATCGATGAGGGAAAAAATCGCTTAAGAAGGGCAGGCTTTGCGCTTCCCCCTCCCCACCCCCCACTCCTGAGGTATTCAGGTACAAGGCTAGCCTTTAACAGGGGGCCAGGCAGAAGGAAATCTCTCCAACTAACTAGGAATCATGCATTTCAGCAGCCCGAGCCCCCAGCCAAGCAGCATCTTCATGGCTGCAACCTCGACCCTGGACCATTACGCCCTTGCATGGCAGGATTTTTTTTTTTAAATCTGCATATAGTTAAATCTTCTTGCTGTTCTAACTAATCTACTGGAGAGGGTTTCCTTCGCTTTCCCCTGTCAGTCTAACTTCCCAAGTGTAACAGATGCCGCTCTCAAGCGCTCCTCTCTGCTGCTTGTCTTTATGCAGCCTCGCATATTTCTCCCCATGATCTGGGTTTCCATAGAGAGAGGAATAAAAGGGGGACCATGGCCACAAATCCCCTGCCCCATGCGGAATAAAAGAGCCTTATTCAATAGCCGACCCCGTCTGGACATGGGAGCGAAATGAGTACACGCAAAGCTACTGTTGCAAGAATTTGTAACTTATTTTTCATCGACCGGAGTTCACAAGCACGAAAGAGATCCGCCTCTAGGATGGGGTCCCTGCCCGTAGGTGTTGCCCCATAGTCCCAGGTCCCAACAGCTCAACCTTGGGGGATTCTTTTTGCTACCTCCCCTACCCTTTTCCTTCCCCCGAAACCTGGGCCAGCTAGAAGTCGCTAGAGAGGGCAGTCCCTCTTTGAGGCGGAGGCGCTGTAATTGTATTGGGGTCCATACACTTTCCAGAATAAGCCCGGCCCGACAGGCTTAGTTCTCCAGGTCATGCAAGTTCAGGGCACCAACTTTCTTTCTCCTCTGGGTCGGTTCTCTTATTCCATTTTTTAGGACCAAGATTTAGATAATTACAGACACCACTAGCCCATCAGCTCCTCCCAAGAACGGGATGACAATTCGGTTGTAAACTGAATAGGGAAGGCAGAGGGTTGGGGGGGGGGGGGGGGTGATGTCCCTGTGGCCCTCCGAAAGACTGGAAGCCTTGAGAATGATGGAGATGGCGGAGTTACCTCCAAGGCACCTCGTTGAAAGCCTATGTACTCGCAGGGAACCCCCCTCTCCACCTCCCCTGTTCCTAACCACCACCGAGTCTTCTCTGCAGTCAAGAGCCAGCGAACTGAGCCGATCGTTCGATTCCTTTCGGGTAGAAGGGATTGTCCGAGCGAGCCGAGCTGAGCTGAGCGGCCGTGCTTGGTCGGGGCCCCAGCTGGTGCTGCCCTACAGGACGGCCAAAGAGCCAAGCCGTACTGCGGGGAGGGCTATGCGGGTCCAATTCCTATTTTTCGGAGACTTAGAGGGTTCTCTTTATTCCCCAAAATCTAGACGTGGAGCGCGGGGGGTGGGGAGGGCGAGGAAGGTGCGGAGAAGTCTCACAGGTTCGATTTGGGTCGTATTTAATGCCGCCTGAGGAGGCTCCAGGCGTCAGGAAAGGGAGTTGGGCTGTGACCTCTACATCGAACACTTCACCTACAACAGCAATTCAGTTTAGAAACAGGACGATGGAGCCGTGGCTCAATGGGAACAAGTACAAAATCTAGGAATGGTGAGGCGGGGGTGGTGGTGGGGAGGAATCCCAAGCGAAGAGAAACAAATGGCCAAAGGAGGAGTGAAGCCTTTCTGGTCCCTGTACATGACACATGATAACATTCTGGGTGGGAAACCCAGCTGCCCACCCGATTCTCAGCTGGACCTAGCGGCCAACGGCCCCCTGGCTCTCCTGTTTTAGCTTTTTACAAAGCAAACGGCGGGGGGAAGGTAAGGGGCTTGCAGTGTTGTGGGAAAGGGGAATTCAGACAGCAGTGGCAGACATTAGCCAATACCGAATCAAGCGCAATGAGTTCGTTTTGTAGGTCTCTGTTGGCTGTTCTCGAATGTGAGGAAGTGATCTTCTGAGAAAAAGGGAGAGGGCGAGGGCAGGGGGAGGGGGCTGACGCGGGGGGAGGGAGGCAGCACACAGCGAATGCAGAAGCAGAAACGGGGTAATTTAAAAAATAAAATATTCATAATGTAAGATTTAATGCAAACACACCCAAATCTGCCAGACCACTTGCATTTGCTAGCAAAACGAGTGCTGGTTTGGAAATGACGAGGCATTGTTTGGCCACGGGCTGTTCTGCAGGATGGTTAGAGGCTAGGGAGGCACAATAAAGAGCATCCCTGCTAAGGTAAATGCCATGGATTCTAAAGGCTGCATTTTCCACAGGCGGCTCGGTACCCCTCTTCTCTGCTCACTTACTACCTTGCCATCGCCATTGTCAATGTCTGAACGTTCTTTCTCCCAGGGCTACTGGCAGATGTTGTGAATCGAGCGTGCATTATGCACGGGCTCTCAGGTCACCATTCTGGGGTTTTCAGTTCATTGTAGCCGGGCATGAAAGGCTGACATTGACTTGTGTTGTAAAGCAAGAGAGCATCTCTGAGAAAAACTCATTTGACATCGAGAGAGAGAGAGCGACCTTTTGCTTAATTGTGTTTACGAACTCATAGTTTGTTTCCAAATTTGAACGTGGTCGTTGTTTTAAGGCTACATAAATATAGCTTTAAAGTCTGCATCGATCAGGTGAAGCCGTATTCTTATTATTGTCTATGGATATACATTTATACATAGACATAGAATACACATTTCTTAAAGCTATGATCAGGCACTGAGTAATTAACAGAACTGCTCCCTCCCGCCCGCCCCCCCCCCCATCGCAGTTAACTTTCTCTTCAGGGATGGATTTCCAGCTTGCAAAATTGTAAGGAGTTTGTTTCATTCGTTAAGTGGAGTTGGCTAGTGTCACAAATCTCCAAGCAAGCCTCCCCGAAGTAAAAAGTGCTGTTTACTGGGGCTAAGCATGCACATCACCTCCCTCTCACCTCGCGCGATGTAACTTTATAAGCAGGATTGAGGATCGAAATAAGAGCTTCCTCTAGGAAAAGATTTGTGGCAACAAATGTGCAGATCCCCGAGGTGTGCTAGCTGCTATTTTGGGGCCATTCAGTGAGTGAACAAATTTGTAACATTTCAAACAAATTTGAAAATGAACCACGTGAAAAGACCTATCCGATTATTGTTTGGTTTGCTTAGGAACAACCAAATCTTACCCAAAAATGTGGAAAATAAATCAAACAACTAGAGAATTTCGGGGGTTGGGAGGAGGTGTGGGACTAACGGGACTGAGCTTGATGTTTAAAAAATGACAAATCGGGTTGGGGACGGCCAGTCTTGGGAAATCACTGAATTCATCTGGTAAGGAGTTTGAGGTTCCCATTCGCAAAGTTCTCTACATAGCCTTGGTCCCTTTCTGCACTCAGGCAGACATATTGTCGATTTGGGTGGCTGGTTTGGTTTTGAGACAGAAGGGTTCCACTTTAGAGCTTGGCAATGGACTTTTAGTTGCAATGTAGATGGACCAGCCGTCGGTGCACAAAAGGACAAGTACAGCCTTGAGAGAGCGTGAGGGCAGATCACGACGACTACGGGGACCGGCTCCCTCCTCCTGGTCCCCATGCGGGCCTCAGGGTGCTGCCTGCCCCCTAGAATCAGCTCGAGCTCCCAGATACGCCGCTACCACCATGGGGTAGTCAGGTTGAGCCGACCAGCTCAGTGGCCCAGGCAGTGGATGCTCAGGAAGGTGCTCGCCTGGGAGGGCCGCTGGGTCCACACGTGGAGCTCAGCAGCGGTCCGGGCCATGGCTTTGGCAAGGGGTGGTGACGGGGGCAGGGGCAGGTCTTGGATGGGTATGCGGGGGTAGAGGGGGTCATTTCTGTTGTCCCAAATTCCAGCTTTTTCTGTGGCTGGCAACTCTCCTGCAGAACCGGCCCCACCCAGACCACCAGCTAACCCGGCAGGAGAGGGGAGAGCGCGGCCCATATTGTTCTTCTTTTTCTTCCTACCACGCCCCCCTTCTCCCCGCGCCGCGCCCCGGCCCCAGGCCCCCGCCCGGCGTAGGAGAC